AGTACTTGATTTGAATTAGTTGATAAATAGATCAGATCCTAATGATTAATTTATAACCTCTAAATATGAGTTTGATTAATCCAATTCATAATTATATTTAGTGTAGGATTTAAAATTTTTCAAAAGATAGAAATTTAAAAATTTTAATATATATATTTTTTAAAATATTGGATGTATAAATTTTTATATTTTTTCCCTTCTCTTTAATTGATTAATTATTTTTTTATATTTTTTAAATAATAAAAATAACTTTTCTCCTAAAGACCTAATGCATCTGTAACTGATTATACTATTAAATAAAACAAAAGTTTTTTTTTGGAAGGCTTATTAAAATAAACGTTTGGATGCTACTCATATAGCTTCTTTAAAAAAATGTTGTATATTATTGACACGCGTCGTTTTTCGTGTTAAAATAATTCATTTCTTTTCAAATAATATTTAAAAGAAATTAAATGCAGTAAATGAGAAGTAAGGGTCGATCTCACATAGACTAAGAGAACTCCCTGATTTATTCTTGATTTAATATCTTAGCCTAGAGGTAAATGGAGCAATGTTTAAGTAAAATGAGGGGGTTTGTAGATGAAGAGAATAAAAGTAAAATAAAAACAAGAGTAAAGATGATTAAAAAGAAAGGTGAAAGATGATTAAGAAGAGGATTAAAAAAATTCAAAATGGTAAAATCATCCTTGGGTTGTCGCTTTGATTCAATTTCCTCGGATCATCGAAAATGGTTTTTTAATTCGGGATTCACGTCGGTTACTTTTCTACAAGGATCAATCATTGTGACTATGCTTTGTATACCAAATACCAAAGTGCAACCTTTGATCCCGGTTTTGGAAATCAATCTAATCAACATCAATTGTTGTAGACCAAGATCCAGTTGAGTTTGTAAAAGACCAACTCGAATTATGTTGTTTCAATAATAACATATTTCGATCTCAATTTCTCTCTTAGGAATCAATTTGCTAAGTGTAAGTCGAATGTTCTTTCAATAAGTTGATCATTCCTCTCATACGGTTAATCGCAACAACATCCTGACCAAGGTCAATCTTTGGTTTTGAAGATTGTTTTGATTTTTGAAAATAAGCGCAATAAATCGAGAGAGATTTCCGAAGTTATTCAAGTACTTTTTAAACTTTCACGTTGGAATTGAATCATTGCTTTGACCATCGGTTTAAAAGAAAGTTGGCTAAGCATAACAAAAGTCATACTTAGCATATTAAAAATAAAAGTTTTAAAGTAAAAATAAAGAAAATGTGAGTAAGAGAAAAAAGAAATAAATTTTATAAAACATAAATAAAGAACTTCAAGATTCGATTGATGATTCTTTAGGCTCACCCAAAGAGGATATTTATAGCCTTTGGAAACCCTAGAAATGCTAAAAATAATCATAAGAAAATACAAAAGATAAATTCTAAAAAGATAATTCCTAAACTTGAATTTAAAATGCTTGAAATGCTCCAATCGTCCATCCATCTTCTAGAATAGTTGACTGGATGTTGACTATATTTTCTAAAAGTTGTTGACTCACTGCCATGTCCGCATTTCCTGCCCAATTTCATGCTCAATTTCATGTCCATTGTTCCAACCTTGATTCCAAAACAAAAAGTGTAATTTTTAAGTCTTTTAAACACATTTTTCAAAAGTTATTGTCCTGCACATAAATCATGTAAAAAGGTCAAAATCAACAATAATAATGAACAACCAATGAGTATTTGAGCATAAAATGTTGCACAAAATAAACACTAGTCAATTATCCTTACCATAATATTATTCGTTGAATTTGGGACTATTAGTCGACAATAAATATATTTAGATATGAGAACCTTGTGCTATTTTTTAAAAGGAGATTTGTAAAATATTTTCTAATAAGATAAAATGTCAAAATTTAAGAAGATTGAAACTTGAATGGACATAAATAAGATTTTTTTTGTCTATTAAACACCATAAATTTAGTGATATTTTAAGTAAAATTGATTACAATTGAATTCTTAGATAATAAGAAAAAAATTAGAATGTTTTTTTGGTTAAATTTTGTCAAAGGAAAATAATTGTATCTAGGTAAGCAAATTATTTTTCAAATTACGAGCCCCTTAAACTTTAAACCCTTGTGAGGTACCACATGCTACACTTGCTAATAAACATGTCTGGTTATCGTACATCTTTTTTAGTATATCTTTCATGTTAGTAAATTAATAAGTTGTTATATTGTTTATAATGATAGTGATATATTAAAAATGTGTATGAATTTATAAGGTGAACTCAATAATAAAAGAAATATTGTTTTAAAGGATTTAAATTTGAGTAATTATATTTGTAGAATATATGTATTATTATATATCAAAAAAATTCTAAACAAATATTATCTCTTATAGCTACTCTAAACTATTCAATATATATATATATATATATATATTATTTTGATTAAAATTTATGATTATATATAATTCTTTAGAAAATTGTAATAATAGAAGCAATAATGAAGTTGGATTGGAGAGACGTATCCGTTATATAGATCAATTAGGTTCGAAGGCATTAAAATGAGTAATTAATTGATGACGAGTAGGTACTTCTAGATATGCCGAAATCAAATTTTTTTATATGCTAATGCATTGAATTGGTAAATTAATTGTAGGATACATAATCAACTAAGTTTGGCAGCTTTTATGGTTACGAAATGGCCTTGGGATTTAAAACCATTAATCATAAATATTTCGTGTTACTAAGGTTAAGGCAGGAGAGGCACCCTGCCCGTTACATTAACTTTCATACATTGTCTCACCTTGCTTTGCCTAATTGAATTTCACTAATAAATGCATTAATGCTTATTTATAGTAATATTGTATTAAAAACTATTCAAAGATGAAAATATTATTATACAATAATTTTTTAAAAATTATGTCATCCGTGACGGATTCAATAATATTTTTAGGATGAGCACACATATATATTAATCACATAAAATTTTTATACATAATAGACACAACTAAATTTCAAGGTGGACACAATTTAAAATATATAATTATCCAAAGAAAATTTAGATTTTAGGATGGACAGTTGCTTACTTTAAATCTTTAATCCACCACTGCATGTCACATAGTAGTTACTAGTTAGAAAAATTATGTATTAATTTTATCATTATACCACATACTATTCTTTCCCCAACCCATATATACCATAATTGTGTTAATTTATTGTTATTATTTTTATAAAACATTCGAAACCCTATTCCGAATTTAAGAAACAATTTGATTTACCAAGGCTGTTTATACTATTACGAGGATTTAGATTTCCATAATGTTCTAGTCTAAGTTATATAATAGAACAAGAAGAGGTTAATTATATAGTCAATGATAACACTGATAGAAATCTCACGCGTAATAGTTTTTTTATCCTAGTTCTTCCCTTTATATAATCATCAATGAGAAAGTTAAAAACACTAGTTCCGACGTATCAAACAAGAAACTTTAAAGTGAGAAATAAAGCGAACTTGGTAAAAACTGTCGATTTATGCGATATTTTCGCTTAATGACGAAGAGACATGGCAAAGTAAATTGCACTTCTATATTTCATGCTAATGGAAATGATGCAGCATCCACAATTGTGGAGCAAAACAACTTTTGAACTACCGATGTTGTCTACTATTTGTTTTCATTCAAAAACCATGTTTTAATAGCTTGGAATTATTATCATGTAGTGTAAATTTTTTAAGTCATTAACTACACATATATAACTTATAGTAGTTTTTCGAACCTGACACTTCTAAGGAGATTAAAGCTCCCTTTTACCATTGAAATGCCTCATTTGTTCAACAATATAAAATCAAATTTCAATATTTGTAAACATTTTCTCCATCGTCAGAATGTGACCTACATCATTGGGATCTACGGAAATATATGGAAGAAAAGGTGCATCTAGGTCAAGTAGGGCTATAAGTGCATTTATTCCATTGGCATTCATACTAATATTGGTTATCCTCTATAAAACCCTACATGAAATTCATACTAATATTGGTTATCCGCTATAAAGCCCTACAAACTTTTACAAGTAACATTTGTTTCACCGACATTATAATTATTTCTCCTATTTCTAGATATTAGCAACGGCAAGGGGGGCAACGCTAGCCATTATTCGTTTCATGATCTTGAAGAATCCCCAATTCCAAAAGATAATGAAACTAAGAGGAACGAAAACAACACCCAGTTAAAAGAGTTGGTCGCTTAAAAAAGGTGCAAAATCTTCGAGATTGAGTGATCAGAGCCCATGTTTTAGAATCAGAAGCTACAAAACTTAGGAAAGTTACTTCATATTTCAGTTTCTCCACCCCATGTGATAATTCGACAAGCCTAGCAAACAGAAGCATCTCTATACATATCCAATAACACCTTGCGTACCTTAGCCTACATCATCAATCTCAGACTAAATATAACATAAATCACATGCATATGTTTGCAGAGAAGCAATAAATTTATCGGCTAATGAGCAAAGGTATGATTTCCATTAGAGGGTCGCACAACCCATGCACGTCTATTCAAGCTGTTGTCTGATTTTTTTTCATGCTTAATATATTTATGCGTATGAAAGTTGATGAATACACGTATAAATACGTACATTATCTGTCAAAAAGGAAAATAGGGAGATTTGCCAATGCATGAAATACTAGTAAAGCTGCATCTTGCACCTTCTTTCTTTCTTTCTTTTTCTATATTTAGAGAGGTTTAAAAATTAATGAAAAGGGGTTTTGAGAACTCTTCGTTTCTGCCCTACACGAACCCTATTTTTTCTCGTCCCATTTTTGTGCTACCAAACGGCTAAATGGGAAAAAGTGGCTTCGAGTTCAACAACAGCCAGAAAGCAAGCAAATTGAAGATCAATCAACAACCCAACAAAGCTAGAAACAAAAGAAGAAGAAGCACACATCCACATGCTACACTAAGTACACTCAAATCGAAAAACATAAAAATAAAATAAAGTTTACTACTAGTACTACTTATCTATCGTATAAAAATAATTATTGAAATTCGAAAAGAAAAACCAACATCCCCCATATCATATGCATCTTCAGTTTCTATTCTCATTTAAATTGTATGCTGTCTAGTTCGGTGGATGTTAACATTTAACATACTAGTAGCTAGCGAAAAATACCAATGATAACGATGAATCTGACAAGTGAAAGGTTTCTGTTAAAAGGAAATGTCTCCTCCGATAGAGAGAGAAAGAGAAACATGGCGTAAATCAAGACCTTGGAGGTGGGAAGAACTGCGTACCAGCAATGAAAGCGTTAAGTGGAGCTGGGTAGACCGAAGGGTCCAGCATATTTGTGCCTGGATTGCTCGAAGTAGAAACTGGGGTTGCCGTGGCAGCTGCTGCTGCTGCTGTTATGAGATTAAGTTGCTGAGAGCTTTCACCGCCACCGCTGTAACGATTTTCAGGTCCTTGATCGTAGAGAATTCCTTTGAACACATGCCCGGCGATACTAACGGCCGTTTGATAAGCGAACTCCTCGTCTACGTCGTCCATTGCGCTTACTTTCACACAGCGAAACACTGCTTGTGAACTCACTTCGGGAGGGAATTGGCCCAGTTCCAACCCTAATTTTTTCATGGTGTAAAAACTTAAATAAAATGAAACGAAACGAAGAGCAGAAAGAAAGAGAGGCTTGATTTGAATTATTTCCGAATATTATGGGAATTCTTCGTCAGTTTTTCAAGCAAATAGTGGCAGAAATAATGGAAAAAGGAAGAAAAGAAAAAGGAGAAGTAGCAAGTAGGTGGGTTGGGTGGCTATGGAGGTGGACTAGCTCACACGCAAATGATATCGATTCCTCAAAAATATTACAAGAAATTAAAGTTTGTCTTGCTTAAGTTAGCAACACAGGGTTCTTGAAAATCCACAATCCTAGACCTATATCCAACATTTCTTTAAAGAACCCATCAATCCCGCTTTGATTTTTCATCTGTTTTTGTTTTGGCTGTCTTTGTTTGTATTGTAAACTACAAGATTTACCTGATGTGGTGGGGGATAAACGAGTACAGGCAAGAGAGGGAACACCTTGATTCTCTCTCTGCCTTTTCGGGATCTCTCCTCGAAACTGTTGTTGCCCTTCTTGTTGCAAAGCTGCGAGCTGCTGTTGCCTCTCCCGCCTTTTAGCCGCGGGAATCCAAGTACTCTTAACGTGCGTTTGGCACTGAAACCCTCGGCTTTTGCAACAAGTCCTGCACCTCAAATGTTCACAGTCTTTCTTAGCTTGGTTCCCACAATCCTGGCAGTTCATCCCTCCTTGCCTCATAACCGTGAGCCCAGCCGATCTAAAAGACGACTCATCGGATAAGTTAAACCCAGTGGTTCTTCGACTAGGTCCCGCTCCAAACGAGTAGTTGCTTACGTTTTGCTGTTGTTGGTAATAATACTGAGGCCATATCTCAAACCCTTTGTTGCTGTTGTAGATCTCATCGTTCCTATACAAATACAGACTCTCTTCTTTATCTTCTCCTTCTTGTTTGTTTGTTGCAGCTGCTGCTGCTACCCCTTCTCGTCCACCTAGATAGAAGAAGCCAGCCATTTGTTATACACGAAATCTGAAATCCTCCTCAATTTGGGCCAAAAATCCATAGCAGAAACACCCTATTTAGTGTCCCCCTCTCAACCCCACCCAGATCACTAGTGTGCTGAGCTGGTTTTTGGATTTTCCTTGAGGGTCTTTATGTGTTTCAATGGTAGAAACTTTTTCTGGTGGGTTTTTAAAGGCCACTGTTAGTCTATAAGTGTTTGTTGGGGGTTTCGTTTTGACCTCACCTTTGTTGTTTCTGCTCTGTCTGACCTCTGGAGTGGCTAGATTTTTTAAGTACAGAGCCTGTTTTCTTGAACAATCTTTGGGGGGGGGGGGGGATTTAGAGGTTAAAAGTGAAAAATTGTTGAGATTTTCTTTTAGGGTAAAAATAAAATAAAGGAAACAAGGATGGTTTAGCCTTGGATTTGGTCCTTTCCCTTTTGCTTTCTCTATCCCTTCAATTCCTAGCAATAATGGCACGGAATTTAAACCCCTGCAACGCCGCCATGAGAACTGCCCTCCAGTCTTCACTCATTTATGTAAAAACCACCTCACTCTCTCCTTCAAGCAAGGCTTCAACCCTTCTCAATTATAACAAGGGTAAACTATTGTTTTGGTCAATTTATTTTCATGTTTTTACACTTTTTCTTACAAAATTCATAAACATATATTTTAATCACTTTTCGATAGTTCCATGACATGACATTACCTTGAGCTTCAGGTGAAATATCATTTTGACTATTAAACTAGGGGTGTTCATTAATCGATTAAAATGAAATAATTGATTTTGTAGTTAATCGGTCAATTAATTTTAATTTTTATCGGTTAACCGATCGAATAGACCAAACTTTGTTCAGTTCAGTTGAAAATTTTGATTCGGTTAATAGTTAAAGGTAAAAAATCGGTTAATAATTTTTAGCCAGTTCGATTAGGTCGGTTCGATGAACGGACCAATTGAACACCCCTTCATTAAACTAGAGATAAAATATCAATTTAAACCTTGAACTTTATAAGTATCTCATCATTGTCATCTCTTACCACCATAAATGTTATCATCGTCGATCAACATTGGTCGTTGTCACCATTAATCGTTAGACCATAAACTTTATATTTCACTCCTTTTTGACATTCTGAATATATATTTAGTGTATGATTAATGAAAAATATTTAAAACTCAACAAATTTAACTTAGAACTTTTCAATTTTCTTTAAAAATAAACCATAATAATAAATTTATTATTATTTTTTCTTTAAAAATGAAAACACTAAAAAGTTAGTTTTATTTCATAATCAAATACATAAATATTCTATTGTTATTTTTTTATATTTATAATATTCATCATAATTTAAATTAGCACATTAAACATATGAAAAAATTGTAATAGGCTACAAATTAACTTGTAATCAAACCGTTAATAAATGTTAATCATTTTTTAATTGTTAGGTTACGATTAATAAAATTTAGTAAAGATTATAACAATTAATCAACCATTTAGATTAAAAAATATGGTTGATCGATCATGAACACTCCTATAATTTATAAAAAAAAATAACCCTGATAATTTTATTGTTCAATAAGGACTTAAACAATTTCAAAAATGTTTTAGTAAGATTATTTTTTATAATAACTAAAATTATTTAAATTTATATAACTATATAATCATAATTTGTATAATAAAACGTAACATATATAATTAAATTATACTTAATAAAAAATCTAAATAATTCAAAATATTAATCATTACATTAGAGTATAATTGTTAAGTAATAATTAATTATGATGTATAAATACATTCTTAAAAATAAAATAAAGGAATTAAAATATAAAATTTAACATAATAGAGAGACTTAAACAAGAAATTGACCAAAACCCTGCTATAAATCTCTACTTTTTGTCGGATAGTGTAAGAGAGAAGAGGAGAAGAAAGCAGTTCCCTACAGTTCTCTTCCAGTTTCAATGAATCTAATCGAGTAAAGCGTCGAATCTCTGCCATTGTAGTTTCATCGTATGGATCCACTTTCTTCCACGTGGCGCGGCATCAGCTTTCCATTATTGGCGATTTTTCCGATATATTACCGTTGAACATTATATTTTCCGATCAGACACCGTTCAGATTATATTTCTCGATCTAACATTCTTTGCAGAAAGGTGCGGCCCCTGCAACGCGTTTTACGCTGATTTGGCGTCACGTCGGGTAAGGCGCGCCCCTTGCAGCACGTCTTATGCTAACATGGTATACACGTGTGTACAGGGGTATATCGCGGTGCAGGGGCCGCGCCTTATCCCATAATCTGCCACGCGTCAGTAAGACGCGCCCCCTGAGTCGCGCCTTGGGTATAATTACCAAACTACCCCGACGTTTTACATCCAACCCCTCCTTATAAATACTCACATCCTCAATCATTTTCATCACACCAAATTCTCTCAACTTCTCTCAAATACTCTTATAATCTCTGTCTAAGGAATATTTTATTATATTTTTAATATTTTGTATTTAATTTATTTAATATTTTATTTAATTAATTTTTTTGCATATATAAAATGGAAGACGGTCTACTTCGCTTGGATGGAAATCATATATCTCGACACTTTGCTGATACGGTAACATTTTAACGTTTTAATTTAATTTAAATTATTAGTAATTATTTGTTGATTTATTTAATGCATGATTATTAGATTAAGAATTACTTTTTGTAATTATTTAATTTTAGAAGAAGGACCGTGTATTAGATCCATTTATTAGGAATCTTAAGTTAGTGATACCTAGTCGTGTCTTGCCGTATTTAGTATAGGCTGGATTCGGTTACATAGGTATATATTAGGGTCACTGTAAGATAGAACCAGACCTTATTTCTACCTTAGTAGAGCAGTGGATGCCGGAGACCCACACATTTCATCTTCCGTGCGGAGAGTGCACGATTATACTTGAGGATGTTGCTATGCACCTGGGGCTTTTGGTGGATGGAGATGTGATATCGGGGATCGCGCGGGGTTCCTGGACTGCTTTGTGTCAGGATAATCTAGGACGTGTCCCGGAAAGTTTTAACGGTGGTCGGATACCGTTAAATTGGTTAGATGCCAATTTTTGGGAGTTGAGCGACGACGCGTCAAATGATGAAGTTAAAATGTATGCACGGGCATGCATACTACAGCTGATAGGAGGGTTGTTGATGTCGGACAAATCACGCAACCAAGTTCACTGTATGTGGTTGCGACATCTTGTCAACTTTCGTCTGGCCGGATCACTCAGTTGGGGCTCGGCAGTTTTGGCTTTATTGTACAGGGAGATGTGTCGAGCCACTAACTACAGAAGAAATGCTATCGGCGGATGTCTCCTCTTGCTGCAGTCTTGGGCATGGTATCGATTGCCCTTTTTATGTCCCGTTGTGAAGAACTCATTTGTATTTCCTCTACTCTTGAGGTAATTATAAAACTGATTTCGTATATTAATCATTTTATATAGCGTATAATAATTTTTTTCTTGAATAGGTGGTCTACTGATAGGAAAAATCAGCATGAGCTACCTGATGATTTAGAAAAAATTAGGGTCCTCATTGATCAGAAGGCTGGCACACATGTATTAATTTAAATGTTTAAAAATCGATTTTAGATTATAGTTATATAATTAGATTATTATTTTGATAAAAAATATATATATATATATTTTGTTTTAGTTTGAATGGATGTCATATTCTAATGATGATGTGAGGACGGTGATCCCACGTGAGTTGAGGGGCCTATCAGATGTTTGGATGGCGATGGTCCCTTTGATATGTTATGCGACCGTAGAGTGGCACTCCACTGATCTCGTGCTCTGGCAATTTGGTTGTTTTCAACTAATTCCGAAAGCACCTCGCAATATGGACGACTTGCATGCCACAGATAGACGCGGCAAGACCGATACAGAGATTGGCTGACTTGACGTGGTGATGATTATTATGAGTGGTTCAACAGAAACGGGAAATTGTTTCTGCTTCCCGATGATGCATGAGGGCGGACCTTTCCATGAGGTCGACAGAGACGTTCTCCAACACAACACCATCATCCCCCGACTCGTGGACTTATTTTGAGTGGTTCAACAGAAACGGGAAATTGTTTCTGCTTCCCGATGATGCATGAGGGCGGACCTTTCCATGAGGTCGACAGAGACGTTCTCCAACACAACACCATCATCCCCCGACTCGTGGACGGAGAGCAGGTGCTTCTGGTTCATCATCAACTGTACCAGCAGGACCTGCACAACACACAACACCATCATCCCCCGACTCGTGGACGGAGAGCAGGTGCTTCTGGTTCATCATCAACTGTACCAGCAGGACCTGCACAACAGCCACCGTCTGCAGCGACATACATACCGTAGCCATATATGATGTCGTCACCGCCTTTCCATTACCATATGTCGTCGTCCTTCACCTGGTTTTATGACCCTGCCGCCGCCACCTTCACAGAGTTTTATGACCCCTCCTAGAGGCTATTATGGGTCTATGTTTGTAGATCCGACTTGGGGTTCATATGCTAGATATTTGGCGGGTTCAGCCTCATCACCCATGGCCGCAGTACAGACACCTCATGTACAGTTTTCACACTCAGCGATGTCTGGGGGTTTTATGAGTTTTCCCAGTTTTCGCAGGCCGGTGGGATAGTCAGTCATACACCTCCAGGGTCCTTATTATATGGAGGTGCTTCATCGTCATCAGTTCCTCATCAACAAAATTTAGCTGCTCAAGACGACGACGACGACAAGGACGACAACGATGATGATGATGACAGCGAGGAGTCACAACCAGTGATATGAAGAAATCCTTCTCGAGACCGACAGCCACCGCCTTGCGGAACACATTCGCTTCGCAGGCATCGATAGATTTTGTTTTTTTTATTATATTTGTATTTAGTACTTTTTATTGTAATTGCTTATTGGATCTTTTTATTGTAATTTTTTTATTTATCATTTAATACTTACTTTAATTCATTAATATGGTTGGATTTATTTTAATTTATTTTGATAAATTTGTTGGACTTTTTGTTAATTTATTTTGCTTAATTTTGTTTATTACCATTTAATTTTAGTTATTATAATTTGGTTATCATTTATCATTTAATACTTATTGTATCGTTAATATCAGTTATTTGTTAATATAACGCCAACGTCAAATCTCGTATAATTGTATCATTTTTTTAATCTTCATCAGCGGTTATTGAATAACATTAACTTTAAGTAAATGA